GTGTAAGAGATTATGATTAAAGTTACAATCAAGTACACTTTAAAAATGGAGGGACATCATTGAGACATTTTTCACAAGAAATTAGTTTTCATGTTTTAAAACAATTGAAATATCAAAGTACTTGCAGAGAAAAGAGGCAATTGCAATTGTTAAATTGAAAAACTTGGGAAATTTAAGTATTATTACAAAATAATGGGAACAAAGAAAATGTTACCTGAGGATGAGGGAACTAACACCAAAGTACACTTCTGACTTTAGACAGTTGGGTTAGAGTGGAAAAGGCTTTCCAGTGCCACTGGGGATATCTCTCCTTCTCTTTGTGCTATTTCCTTATTTGACAGCAGTCCTGTTTGAGCAGTGGGGTTGAATTCTTTATTTGAGCTGTGGAAGTCCTATGGGACCATAACTTTCTATGCTGGCTTCTGCGGGAGAAAGTCTTGTTGAGATCACGCTTCAGTAAAAGTAGTTGTTGCTGAACAGAGCCCTGATCAGAAAAGGCTCTATGAACAGACATGTTTGCTTTCCACCATCTGCCTCCTCTGCTCTTGCCTCCAGTTGAGTCTCTGATACTGAAATAAGGAAAAGAAAGAAGGTGGGCAAGCTGCTGAAAGGGCCACTGAGCACCTGCTAGTGACATATCTGCACTTAAGAAGGTGCCTGAAGCAGTGTAGCCACCGGACCACATTAGCTTTCCATGGTGTTGATGTAAGTGATGTCTCTTTCTGCCCACTTTGTGTGTCAAGGGGTGGATTGTCAAGGATTTCAACACAGTTATACACTTTGAAAGTTGGGCAGTTTCTAGACTACAAAACTTTCCTTCAAAATGTGTGTATAGCAACACTGCTGGCCAAGTGGATGTGAGTTTGTATAGTCCCAAGTGCTACATCCATCTGCTGTAGAGCAAACACTGAGTGCTGTGCTGCAGAATCTGTTCCCACAGATTTCATCAATGATGCCTCCATGTTAGCGTGCTTTCGCAGCATTATCCAAGTACCAGTTGCACTATCAAAGTGTCAGTGCTAACATTTAGAGACCACTTCATGCATCAGAATTAGTAATATTTGGCCCTTTTTTTTTTTTCCTTTTTCCCTCCCGAGGCTGGTAGCTGTGACCATTAATTTATTTTCAACTGGACAGTTCAAAACTGAACTCACAATGTAGAGAAATGAGAAGAAACGTTTTGATAACTGGTTACTTACTGCAATTGCAGACTAGCGTTTAATGGCAAATATGAAGAGTATGTCTGACTCCACACATTTTTAGATTTACTCTTGTAGTAATGCAAGTAATATAGTAGCAGTACTCTGGCTTTTAAGCATTCTGCTAGGTTCCAGGAAACAAATGAGGCATCTTGGGAAAAGCTGAGGACAGAGCTTTGTAAAACGTTGATTTAGATAGATAGTGATTTCAATTAGACACATAAAAATCTATTGTCAGGACAAACACTATTGGGTAACGGTAGGTTACATCAATATCCCAGTGTCTGATCTCAGAATCTTTCCCCTTCTGGTTTTTGAGTTTATACAAGCTATCGAAAGGTCCTATGTTGGTTCTTGTAGCTATGTAAACCTTCTTTGGTTCAAGAAGAAAAAGAGATAAGGATAGAACTATATACCATTTTGCTTTGAATTTAGGGCTAGTAAGTTGAATGTTTGTTTTGTAAAGAAAAACCTTGTGTTTAACTGTGTGAGTGTCTTCCCTGGGTTTATGCCGCTGAACTTGAAACCCCAGAGGGGATGTCCAGCACTAAGATCAAAATTACTGTTCTGCTATTGCACATTCCCAAGTAGAAAGAAAATTTTCTTAGTATTGTACGTTCTTAAATCTTACATGTCCTCTTATTAAAAAATTATATCATAACAGTAAAACTAGGAATGAATACCAGATAAAGAACTGGTCTTGTTGAGTTCAATAGTAAATGTTCTCAACAGGTCAGGATTTATTTTCAAAACTGAGTCATGGTAACTCATGTCAGCAGTAACAGCATAACAAAGGATGCTTGTATACTTGCATTTTCTACAGTAAGTCCTTAATAGTAAAGTATAAAGTGCTTTTGTTCCCCCATGAAATACTCCTGCATTTAGGATGTTTCAGTACAGATATAATTTTGCTGATATGTCCGGTGCTCATTTGAAGCCTTCATTGCATTTGTGGGTCTGTTAGTTTTATTTTCAGAAGGACTCATTTTAGCTAAGTTTTGTTTCCCTACTGAAACTTGGAATTAAGTATCTGAGCTTGTTAGGGTTTACTATATGCAGCTGATTTAAAATAATAGTCAACAACAATCTGGTAAAGAAGAGATGATGATCTTTATTATATAAATAAACCTGTGTGCTCCTTTATTGCAACAGATATTTTTGCCAATGTCGTTTTGGACTTTGCTTCTTTCTTCTCATATATGAACTTGTACATAAACATTACATGCGTTGAAACAGTATGGGAAATATATAACTTACTAACTGTTGGATCTGCAGAATAAAACTTTCTACATTTGCAACGATGAATATTTTTCAGGTATTTTCATATGCTTTTCAGAATTTAACTTAGCTGTCAGAGTACTCCAAAGATCTAAATATAGCAGACTGTAGTGTTTTGAAGCGATAGTTTAGAATGAATTTCCACATCTCAAAACTGGCACCTGTTAGATCAGAACACAGTGAATTATGCCCACTCCTACTGCATTTCACTATCCATTTCTGATTCCGTGCCTATTAAGGGTGATTCAGTATGCCTTTTGTGCTTGGCAGTCTGATTTCTACAGCTAAGAGGTAAATATAAATAGCACAATTTCAATTGCAAAACATTGATTTCCTCCCAAAGCAGATGTTTTTTATCTAGCTGGTGGTAGGATACTTCAAGACAAGATCCCTGTTCCTATTTACATTTAAAAATAAAGAGCAAAAAGAAAAGAACACCTTGATGTATTTCTATTTTGGTTGTTAAATGTTAGCTTGTTTGTCTGACAGTCTTTGCTTAGCTAAGGTACCTTGGATATCCAAGCTGCTTTTATTAAAATTGTGCTTTTAAAGGCTGAATGATATAAACAGGTGTTTTACAGGCCTATAAATATATATATAGATACATATATATTTATTTTTAATTAGAGCGACTGCTGGTTAACTTTTGTCTTGATGCTCGTTGACTACATGCCTCTTTTCTTCCTTTCCTTTTTCCACTGATATATCAAAAATACTATGAAATAAGAGCAACCTTCTAAATCATTGACGTCAGTGACAGAAGGGAGTAGACCACTGTACTGTTGAACATCTTGCCACAGCAGTAGAGAGGTTATCAGCTCTTCTAATTACCAGTCTTTTTGAAGGTTACTACCCTCATGGCTCAGATGCAGTAGCAGATCACACAAGAGCTTACAGCTGAAGCTTCTATGTCTCTGAATTCATCTTTGACAAACAGTAAAGCTCAACTTTTTTGGTTTGGTCACTCAAGTACGTATTTTGTGTGTAAACAAGGATCTGATGAACATCTGCAGCTCCCTCAGGTTTTGAATATTCTTGTCTCAAGAACTGAATACTTTCTTTCCTGAGTCAGGGCTAGAGGCAAGAGTTTGAATCCTTATTAGCACTTCTTAAATTGCCTGTGAGGCCATAAAGACATTCCCCCACTTTCTGCTCTTATTTCCAGTCTTTCTTCATGAATTCTGTAGTCCAGCTGGCATGTGAAATCTTATCCAGCATTCTTAGCAGCAGCTGCAGCCATACAAATTTCCTTAGATTCACCCCCAGACAAAAAAACTTGTCCCACCTCCACAGGGACTTGTGCCAGTACAATTCTAAGAGGCTTCCAAACTTGAGGTTTGCATCTTTTGTTCCCCCCATAACAATAAAAGCAGAGTTAATTGTAAGTGGCAGATGCTCAGTTTATGAAGTGCAAATGGTTTTAGAATAACATGTGGGTAAGTGCCCAAGGTTAGATGCTCAAGTTAGTAGAAGGGAATTTAAGTTCACTTTGTATTGAAAAAAACTTTTCTATGTTGTTTGGATTTTCGAACTAGGTATGAAAACGTTTAAGTGTTCTGTTTCATCCAGCAATATGATCTGTGGCTAATTTAGGTCAAAATGATTTTGATGTCCAACCAAATAATTCAGTCCTTGTTAATACAATAGCACAGGTGTTTTATAGAGTTTTAAGTTTCTAAATCAGTTGAATGCTTCTTTTAAAGAAGCATTGATTTTTCTTTCTTTCCCAGTTTGTTCTTCTCGGAGTGTGTTGCACTAAATGTCACATTGAATTTGTGACTCTGTGAAGCCATCTATACCGCAGAATTTTAAATGCCTAAGAGGTGTTTTTTCTTCCTGTGCTTTCTTAATCAAACGACTGACCCTTGCTACTTACCTGGGAGCTTCTGCTTTTTTTTCCCTCCCTTTTTTTCTATTGTTAGAAAATTCGATCATTAAACAATTAGACTTCAGGCAGAACAGCAAATGACATGTGGATAGTAATGAGGTCAGAAGCTCCCACACACAACCTGTTGAGTCTTCACAGAGGAGCTATGTCGTGCTAAATTTTCTGCATGTGTTGGTGAGCAGTATTCTGGCAAGGATGAATGAGAGGCTGAGCATAAAGGAGAGCTCTAATAGAAGAAATGATGGACACATTCATTGTGGTGAATCCCACTATCTGTCAGAACTATGTCTGCTGCCCCTGCTAAATCAAATTCTTCTTCAAGTTAGCAGCTCTGATAGCTACCTGCTAGGCTGCAGAATCTGTGCTAAAAAAGGATTTCCCTTTTTGGTTTGTTTCTGCCACCCCGTTTAGCAATATGTTGATTGCTTTTGGAACCACTCTGTGGATAGACTTAGTACTGCACTGGGTCTGAAAGAGCTGGGGTTTGATCCAAGAGGTGGATGGGGTCCATGGTTCTGTGACCATGAAAGGGAATGTGTGTGTGGTGGTTTTAATTGTGCGCAGCATCAATATTTTTATGATCCCCCTTTTGAATCTAAGTTCGTAAAAACTGTGTTTATGTTTTCTGAGTGCAGAGTTCCAGAGCGGAGAACCAGATCTTTACCTTGAAGCTGCATCAAAGCCAGATTGTGAATCTTGGGCTGTGGCGCTGGGAGAGGCAAACTCAGAAGGTTTGCAGAATAAAATTCAGCAGCTCCGGAGGCTGATCATGGAAATCAAAGAGGAGAGATCATCAGATGAAGCACAGCAATTTGTCCCTTCGTCCCAAGTAGACTGTCTAGGAGAGCCACAGTTCACGAGTAAGTGCATTTACTGATTTTATTGAGTGATACAATAAAAATGGCCTACTCTCTGTAGCAGTACAGATAGTGTCACAAACAGGGTACGTAATGCTGTTTAACTTGTTGCTTGACAAGGTGCAGTTGCAGAGGAAGTAAACTGATGAAAATGATCTTTAAATATCATTACCTGATTTATTTTTATTTATGCAGATAACCTTCAGGGGAACAAATGTGTGATTACTGTGTCTCTGGCTTTTTCTCTCTAATCTGATTTCTTCATAAGACTTAGAAAATGTTTAGTTAGAAATACTATTTTCCTCTTTTGTATCCTGTATGAACATATGGACTACTGTTTAAAATATAGTCTGATAACTTTGATAAATGTTTAAAGCTTTAGTGATACTTAGATTAGTATCACAGATTTGTTCTTTGTGATATAAAAGCCCTGTGTGGGTTTGAAAGCCCGTAGCCATATATTGAGTCATGTTTAGTGCACTGGAGTCCGGGCACGGTATTTCAGTTGCCCAGTTACTTAAGTCTGTATCCAGCATATTCATAAAGGTGGTCCAGACCAATGTGCTGACTCTGCTAGTGGCAGAATTAAACTCAGAAATTTGTTACAACTCCATTAAAAAAACCCAAACACCTTATGTATTATTTCTTACTGACCAAGGCCTTTCTAAGCATTGCAACTGTAATTTTTCTTGCACAGACTTGAATGATTAGCTATAGTAATGAGAACAGTGTGAAAGTAGACCTATTCAGCAACATCAAGTTTTCATGGAGCAAGAACAGCTATAAATTTGGGGGGGTGGTGGGGGGCATGGTTGTGTGTGGGTTTTTAAAATTATTTTTTATTTTTAACAAAAAACTTGCGTTCCAGTTCACATACCAACTTGGTCCTTTCCATCTGACCAATTTCTTCAATACTGGCAAATACTTAATAATGCTCACTGAAGACAATACATAAATGTCAACAAGAGACAGTTTAATTTCTACAAGGTTCATTGGTACTGTAATTGTGATCCAATTAATTCCTGCAGCGGGTGAACAACTCGGTGTAATTTAACTATCCTTCCTACGTTTCTCTTGTTGCAGCTCTGTGGTTCATTCCTTTTATCCTAGCACAATAACAAAATATTGTCCTTTGCAGTAAAACATGTACTAGAACATAATTCCACAAAGGAGGGGAATTAAAATATTTTTATTTTCCTTTTATATGAGAAAAGGAATTCATATGCTCTTTTTCAACAAAAAAAAGTTGGTTTTGTTTCTTTACAATTAGTGTAGGTCAATAACATGGTGATATATTTTACTATATTAACCTGACATATGTACTTTCACAGAACATGTTTTTGGTTTCCATGTTAATGTGATGACATACCTACTTAAAAATGAGTCATTAGATTTAATATTTTTCAACAGATATATAGTTAGATGTTGTGATTGAAAATCTTACAAGTACCCATCCATGAAAGGTTGGGGTTTTTTTTTTAGTTTCCTTTCCCAGCTACAGAAAGTTTCTATGAAAAATAAAGAAGTCGTCTTCAAAAGTAGTCTTTTTTTTTTTTTTTTTTTTTTTGGCAAGTATTTCATGCAAAGGTCTCTCTCACTGTAAGTTTTTGGTATAAAATGTTACTCCAGCAGCAATAACAGGTAGTTAGAGGTGTGGATTAGGCATGTGAAAGTTTTACTGTGTATTAAAAAGCTAGATGTTGACATCGAATTATTTCTAATAATTTTTTTTTCTTAACCTTAAAGGTATTCGGAGAATTGCCGATGAGCCAAAGCTGGAGTTCAGTCTTGGTAAGATACAATTTTGAATTCTTGGAATTGCAATGGCATATGTGTGTGAAGAGTTTATATATATACAGTGTTATACAATGTAACATCATACCTGTTTAAAAAAAGTAGAAGGACCCAGGTTCCTTTATGTAGAGGACGTGCCTGTGCATGTCTTTGAAATGCTGACTTTAGATTCTTAATTGTTTGAAATGACTAAAGATCTATTGAGTTCTCTAATGCTATGTTGCTCTACCAAGCTGAAAAACTGCCCAATAGCTTTGTGAATGTTGTTTATGAAATAACTACTTATTTGGGACAAGACACTTAAGGAGTTTTAAAAAAGATATTTATTCAGATAAAAGTACTGCCCCTTTAGAACAAACTTTTATTTAAAAGCATTGATTATTATTCTATGGAGAAGAGTCAATATAAACATTTACCTGACTTTCTCTTTTGATACTTAATGTAAGTAATTAGTATATGAGAATAGTGTGGTATATAATATAAGATAACTTTGTTGCAGGAGATGTTCTATCAGCTCAAGCCTCCCTCTCTATTCAGAGGTATGCAGCATGATTAAGATAGCTCAGTAAGTCAAGCAAACTAATTGAATGATCATGCGTTTGTAATACAAGATAAAGGTGCACAATATTTGCAGCCCAAACTGTGCCATTTAGAAAGGAAAATTGTCAACTTTGTCATTGCTCTTTCAGTGCAAAAACTCTGAAGTTTTTGAAATAGTAAATGAAATAATTATTTGCTGTAGAAGCACTATAATTCCGCATCAGAAATCAGAATAATAGCTAGATTTAGTTGATTAATGGTTGGACTCGATGATCTGAAGGGTCTTTTCCAACCTAAATGATTCTCTGATTATTCCCAGCTCCTGTAAAATAACACAGTGGCAAATAATGTTTAGAAATACCTGATGCTATATGCTGCATAAATTCTGAAGGTACTAGTCCAATTTGTTATGATTTTTGCATTCACGTAACCTGCTAATATGCATCTCATGTTGTGTAGCTGTACACTGAGAAACTTCTACTCGGTGCTATTCAATATCTGTTATATTTACTCTGATAGAAGCCCTTTAAAACATCTATTGCAAAAGTGCGTGTGCACGTGAGAGAGGGTGAAGGAAACAAACACATTCATAAGCAGTATATTATATAAAAAATCAAAACAACTCCACTATTCGGAGAATTTAGATGATCTACAAACAAATCTCCCTCAGAACCCGCCCAGCATAGCAAACAAGATGGCACCAGTGCCATACCTGCAGGTTCTTGCCCTGCTAATTCCATCGTGGTAGCCTGTTTTCTGGCCCTGTCCTTTGAACTGGGTTACACTTGGCTTGTGCATTGCTGTAACTGTGCTGATGTAAAAGCCGATACCCTAAAGCTGTGCTGTTTGGCGGCAGATGCGGTTCTATCTGATACAATCATTTTTAGATTCCCTTGACTGTATCTGGGTAGATTTACCTGTATGCTTTTTAAAAACTAGACAGTTATAGCATTACGAAAACTTTGAGTATTTTTTTTTCTGTAGGGACTATTTCTGCTGAAATTGTTAAATGGCATGGAAGAAAAGCCTAGTTCTCTGTTGGGAAATTACCATGCTATAATAATTGTTAAGAGTGATTTTAACTTTTCTATGCCTTTCTATATGCGTTTTATAGGTGATGTGCCTGTAGTATTTGGACATAACTAGTAATTGCTATGGTCCAGCAATAACAAACTCCCAGAATGACCCTGGTGTAGGAGCGGGAGGAAGGTGCTACAGGTGATGACTGCAAATTAGATGAGCCATAGTTCAGGAGAAGTTGCTTTCAGTGATAAATGTGCCCCAGCAGGCAGCAGTGTAAAAATGATGTAAAGCCATTTTCAGACTTGTTTGGGCTCATGCTGGAGGGAGCTCTGTTCACTCATGGTGTCAGTATTTGTGTTTTGCATTTGGTTGTTTCTGGTAGGAATTTATGTTCTGTGGTTTGTTCTGCAGCATTATTGATTGACTCAATGCGGGTCTGTGAGTGATCTTATACACTGACTTCTGCTGCTGCTCAAGTAACAAAGAAGAGTAACAGGGTAAACCTCTTGTTCTTGAATGGTATTCCTGGGGATATTTGACAGGGTAGGCAACTATGTAAAGCTGGTTCCTAGTGTCTTGATCCTAACGTAACAATAAATATTTAAGCATAACACATTTGCATTGGGAGAATCCACCTTCAGGGACTGAGTGGTCCGTGGAAGACTCCTATTTTATCATAACGGTTATCCTTCGTACTGGAATATCAACATACCCATGCCAACACTTCCTAAGTGCAGCCACCCCACTCACCACCACTGTGCTACTCAGATGTGTACAAACCTACATGCGTGCAGCAGACACATCTTGCTGGTGAAAAGTAAGACAGGAACAATTCAGCTGGGAAGGATGCATGTGCTGTTTGGCCCAACTGTCCAGTTAAAACACCTCTTGTCAAGGGCAGCCAGTCAAGATGCCTTCTGTGCTGTGCAGCTGGTTATTGACAGGGCTGGAAGGAACTCTCGCTCTGAGGGGCTGCTCCGTACATCTGGGAAACATGCGTTGCCGTGTCAGCTGAGCCAGAGAGCTGCCCCGTGGCTGCTGGCAGGCCAAGGGCACTGGTTGACTGACCTCACCGTCTGAAAGCTTGGTTTATGTTGAATTAAAGACTTTGGCCTTAGCTTTAGCTAATCAAGGGCTTCCAAGACCTCTCTGTGAGGCGAACCAAAACATGGTAAGCGGGGATGAGAGAGGGATTTGCTGCAAGCAAGCACACTGCTGCGATGTGTGCCTAACTTAGGTAACCAAATCTTAGAGCTCTGTAGAGAGGTTTCAACTTGATTAGGCTGGTCTTTGGCATTTAGCATTTGGAAGGCAAATCTAATGTTCATAACCTCTAAAACAGGTCTCTAGTCCTGAAAGAATGGCTTGCATCTATAATTTTCTTCATATGCATTATATAAACAATATTATATTAGTTAAGTAGCATATATATGTATGCAAATAGACACTTGCTTATATCAGTTAATATATACATGTTTTTAACTATATTCAGAAGTAGTCAATTATCACATAATTTGAACTCTTCTGTCACTAGCTGGTTAATAAATAACATTCAGAAATGGAACTGTCCAGTAACTAAAACAGAATATAGCTTTTTAATACCATCTGGGTTCTGCCTAATATATGAGTTTTATTTAGGGACAGTATACCTAAATACTGCTCGTCGACATTTGAAGTTCCCAATAACTAAATTTTGAAATAACATTATTTAAAAGTCTTGCTAGGGGTTTGTATTCTGTTGTGGTTGCTAACTTGCTGCATTTTATATCCATAACACTGTGGAAAGTGTTCTCTTTATAAAATGTCCAAAATATTGTATACTCCTTATTTAATTTTAAACTTCAGTAAATGTTTTTTTTTGTTGTGCTTTTCTGTGTAGCATATTGGGGGTTTTTGTTTTCTTTCTTAAAAACCCCCCCCCCGAGGTTAAAGCAAATGGTAAAACTCTTCTGAATTATAGCTTTCCTCTGCAATACACTCAGCATTTTCGGGAGCGTATCCAATCTTGTAACATTCCTTATTTTGGAGTCAGAATATTCCTTCAGAATAAGATTGATTTTTATATTTCTGAGGGCTCTTTGGAAATACAACTGTGTTTTGAACCTTGTAACTGTTGGGAAGTTTTACTTTTCAGACTACTTCTTGTTTGGCTTTGCAAGTCATTCTGTTTTGCATGCTGTTTTATGAAGCACTAGGAGGTAGCACTTGTCAGTCTGTGCGAAGTGCTGAGCAGAGGACAAGGAATAGAAACAGATTCTGGGCCTAAATAACACACCAGTCTTAACGAACAGTGAAGCTGATAAGAATCTTTCGCATGACTTTCAAGTGCACAGGGTTAGTTCTTCTATAGATGTTTGTTTTGGACTTACTGTTCTTGGTAGCTTCTTTAAAATATCCCAACCTTTGAGTCCAAGATCTAAATATGGTGTAGGTTCCCAACTTCACATTGATTTCAATGTAGCTGCTTTGTGTTATGTGAACTTAGCTGAAGTATTATGTAAAAGTTATGGGAAATAAATTGTATTATGCGTATGAGTGAACACTATTGTGAAGTAAGGATGAATTTTTTTTGACAGAGAAAGGATCGTCCCAAAGAGGCAGGAATTTCAAGCCCAGTCTAATAGACTGTGTTGGCATGTTTTGCGTGGTTGTGACTTAGGACCTGCTGTGTTTTTGAACTAAGTCCTAGAGGAGTTTCTGTTTTCCTCCACCTTATGCAGGTGAACTTGAGCTCACTTTCCGCTGGTTTCAGTGCAGTTAAAGCAACAAGTGAAACTGTCTTCCAAAAATGTTCTAAGGTAGTGAATGCCCATCATCTTTCATGTCATACTGTCATCTCTCTTTTGGCAGTGTTCGACGATGGCACAGGGTAACGCATATCAAGCAAGTTGGTAAGTGGGATCACCCAGAGTTGAGTGATGTTGAGTTAGTGACCCCTGAGGAGAGTAAGCTCTCCTTACCGTGCTTCTGCGTTCTGTGATGCTCAGAGCAAGCTTGCTTTATTATATGCTGACATTATGTGAACATTGCTGAAAAGTGATTTGGGGATGGATTTGCCAGGACTCCACATCCTTCTTTATCCATTTCTCCTCCCACAGTACTTTGTTAACTTTTGAAGGCTTTTGGGAGTCTGTCATAGCCCTTGCCAAACTTAAAGTAACTGGATTTTTTTTTATAGACAGCTTGCTTAAGCTCTGCTCTTTCATCATTGTACACCTCTTTAAAGCATCGCTCCTGAATTTCGCATGCTGCATACCCTGTCATAGAAAAGGACTGTTGTCTTCAGTGGTCTTGCCAAAACTGTCCAGATATTACGATTATGACTTGGTAATTTTAGGCCATCTTGTTGTAATAAAGTAGTCATAATGCCACTACTGAAGTAACTAAAAACAGAAAGGGAACTTACTTACGTGTTTTCCCTTTAAAATCTTGCT